AGTCCCGGGATCGAGTCCCGCATCGGGCTCCCTGCTCGGCAGGGAGTCTGCTTCTCCCTCTGACCCTCCTCCCTCTTCTGCTCTCTGTCTCTCATTCTCTCTCTCGCAAATAAATAAATGAAATCTTTAAAAAAAAAAAGAGAGACTGAGAGACAAACCAGATCCCAGATGAACCATTTTAATAGGGAGAGTTATCTGGTAGGATAACTGACCTCAGACACTTGCATTATTTTGATTAGTGCCTTTTTTTTTTTCTTTTGAATGGGTGTTTTTTGGCACCTGGTAAGCATCATCCTTTTCTGTTGGTCTTATTCCTATGTCATCCCCTGTACTCATCCCCTGTTTGGGAGGAGCACATTCTTTCGGTCCTACACCATCACCTGTTAATATTCATCCTTGCCATAGCTCAATCTACTAGAATGGAGGCTGGCAAACTTTTTCTGTAAAGGGGTGCGTGGTAGAGATTTTAGGCTTTGCAGGGTCCGTGGTCTCTGTTGCAACCACTCACCTCTGGTGTGGTAGCACAAAACCAGCCATAGACCGTACAGAAACGGATGGGTGGGGCTGTTTCCACAAACTTCATGGGCCCTGACATTTGCATTTTGTATAATTTTCCCCTGTCACAAAATAACCTTCTTTTGATCTTTTCAACCAATAAAAAAACGCCAAAACCACCCTTAGTTTGCAGGCTACAAACAGACAGGTGGGCTGGATTTGGCCCACAACTACCCCTGAGCTGGAGAACAGTTTTGCTGCACGTTACATCATGGCCGGTGTTTAGCTGGTGGGGTTTGGGCATCTCCACTGCACGTTTACCAGGTAAAGCTCCAATTGGGTGTGACTGTCCACTGCCTGGTGACTGTCTTTTCCTCACCTCCTCACGCCTCCCCAGTGTGGAGGAGTAGATAGGTGCTGGGGTTTGCCCCTCAGAGCCTGCAGGGATCTCCCAGACCATGTCTAGTGCCCTCCTGGTACAGATGGGACCACTGAGGCCAAGGCACAAGGGAATGGCCCAGAACACCCCTGAGTTGGTGGGAAAGTGGGGGCCATACTTGTAGCCTGGAATACATAGTAACTGCTCAAGCTCGCAGTAGCCATATTTCTTTAGCTGTTACAAGACTAACAAGAAGGCCTCTCTGCTCACTGTGTCTCAGGTCACCCATTTTTCACCACCTCAGCACAACCTTATTGGGTCCAGCCAGGATCTCAACCCTGCCTGGCTCCAAAGCACATGCTCTTAGCCATTCACTCACTGGGGTTCCTAGCGGTCCTCCTGCCTCTTTGACAGTGTGGGACTGTAGCTGGTTAACTCCCCAAACTCAAGGAACCTTCATTTTGCTCCTTTTCCCTCTTTAATTATTGAGGTGATACATGAAGTTGTGAGAAATACAAAACAAGGGTAAAATGCGTGGACCATGCCGTGTATACAGTGTGTGTTCAGTAACTGCTAGCTATTTCCGTTAATTCTCCAGCTAGTTAGTGTCATAGGATAAGTACTGCCTGAAAATCAGGACACTCACTCACTCCTTATACGTTTTGTTTTTCCAGCCCCAGGATTCAGAGCAACGGATGGAAGTCAAACGGGAAACATGTCGGCTCTAACTCAGGGAGACCCCCGCCCCGTACTTTGGCTCACTCACGGGGCGGGAGCCACCGGGGTAGGGGGGGGGGCTCTGGAGGTGCTGGTGGCGCAGGGGGAGCAACCAGGAAGCCTGCCGAGGGCACACTGCGGGGAGGTGGTAGTAGCCACCCTCTAAGGAGGACGTGGCCCAGGGCAGCCTTTGCCGAATAATGGCAGGGGCCGGCTCGACGCCGCCGCTCTGCCACTCTGGAGAGCAGTGGAGCTCTCCCTTTGTCCTGGAAAGCCGGCTGCAGCTGGAGCCCGTCTTGAGGGTGTTCACGTCAAAGCCTGCGGCGGGCATTTTGCTGTTCAGGGCAGTGTTGGAATCTGATTTCGCCCAACCCTGGAGATGGACTCCGTTTGCGGGGGTTCATGGGAAAGGACTGCAGCGCGTCTGTCGATCATTGGGCACGTTTTCACATCGACTCTGCAGATGTGAACTTGCGCTTTCAGCGCATTCATCAAAGCCTCCGGAGAGCTGACCCTGTCTCCCCCCGCGTCCTCCCCTCCCCCACCCCGGCCCGAGGCGCTGCGGCTCCAGGCCGCCCCCCTCCCTCTCGCCTGCCCCGGCGCCCCCGGCCTTGGGCTCATTTCCTCGAGACGTGCCGCTGTTTACCAACAGCGGGCAGCCACGAAAACGGTCCTTTTCTTTCATCTCCGGACGGGGTTCCACTACAGTTTCCTGCAGGGATCGGCGAGTGGGCGGGCAGCCAGCGGAGTGGAAGCAAAGCTCAGTCACAGCGACTGGGGCAAGAGCACGGGTGCTGCGTCCTGGAGCCGCAGCTGGAGGGGCTCCCAGGGAACAGCCTTTTACCGGGAGGACGCCAAGTCCAGAAGGGGAAGAGCCCTGTCCAAGGTCACCCGGCTGGCAGAGCGCACCTGGCGTGTGCGCCGCCTCGGGTCCCGCTCCGGGCCGGGAGGAGTCTGGCGCGCCGAATGGAAATCACCGGACGCTCTGACCGCCCGCGCCTCCGGCTCCTCGGCCACTGTTGACACATTGCTCCGGGACCGCAGGCTCCCCTCTCGAGGACTGGGGAGAGGGAGCCGGCTCTCGCCCCAACCCAGGCCGCCCCACCCTCCGGCTGCCCACGGGCCCCGCCCCTCGCGCACCAGCCCGCCCCCAGGCTAAGGACCTGCCCCCAGGCTGCGGCCCCGCCCCTCGCGCAGCGGCCGGGCCCCCGAGACTGCAGGCTCGCTCCGCCCCTCGCGCCACAGCCGCAGCCCCGCCCCACCTCACCTGGCCCCAGCCGGGCGCGCCCCCAGCACCAGTGCTCGTGCGTGCCCGCCCTCCCGGGGCTGTGCGGCGCGCGCCGGCTCTGGGCGGGGCCCTGCAGTGGCGGCGGGGCTCCTCCTCCTCCTCCTCCGTCCCAGCGCCTCCCCGACCTCCCCCTCGGGCACTCTCGCGCTCACTGCGCTCCTCCGGGGCCCCTCCGCCAGCTCCCAGCCATGGTGGTCTGGCGCTCGGCCTTCCTCATCTGCCTCGCTTTCTCCTTGGCCGCTCTGGTCCAGAGAGGTAAGGCGGGCGGGGGGCGCGCGGGGACCCCGCCCTGTGGGCTCGCGGGGCGGGGGCTTGGCGCCCCGCGGCCCCGTGCTGCGCATGAGCGGCCCGGCCCCCGCCTCGCTGGCCTGCGGCGGAGGCTGCTGGCGGGTGGGCGGGGCTGTGCGGGGCAGTGGGGGTGCGAGCCCCGGGCCCGCGGGGACTGACCTTGCTGCGATCCGTGTGGTCGGAGAGGAGAGACCCGGCTAGAAACAGCGGGAGAAAATCCCCCTTAAAATCTTGAACAAGGTGTCACCACCGGTGACAACAGCTGTCTCCAGGAGATTGCTTTTGGGAAAACCTTGAAGAGAGCGCACTCATTCCCTTGAGCGGGGCTTCTCAAAATGTGTTTTGAGGCCACCTGCAGCAGAAGCACCTGGGGAGCTTCCTGGGCGTATTCCTACCCCCTTTTGTCAGGATCTCTGCGGGGACGGGATGGGGGGGGCAGCGATATGTTGTAGGTCTAACCAGCTCCCCAGGTGCTTCTGGTGCCCGCCCCAGTTTTCTAGCCGTTGGCGATTTTTGCCAAGGAGGTGGAGAGAGAAATGCTGTCGAATCAAGGGAGCAAGTTTCCTAAAAGACCCTCAGTACTCCAAGTGTGGTCCAGGGCCTTCATAGTCATCACCTGGGACTTGTTAGGAATGCAGCATCTCAGGCCCCGCCCCTGACCTACTGAGTCAGATTCTGCATTTTAACTGGATCTCCTGGTAATTCGCAGGCACATTTAAGTTTGAGAAGCATCTTAGAATAAATGCAGTGCGTGGTTAAAAATAGGCCCTCCAACGTGTACAGACAGAATCTTCTTACACTTATTTATATCCCATTTCCACATCAGAAAAAGGTTTGAGGAAAACACTGCAATTGAGCACAGGGTTGAGCTCTGAGCTCCCTGACAAGGAAGGCAAATTCAGCTAGTGAAAAACATGAGCTCAGCAGAAACAAAACTTTGTCCTTGTACTGAGTTCTAGTGAGATTTATGTTACATATAGGGAACACTGGAAAACAGTAGGCAGTCTAAGGCAGTTTTGCAAAAGATGCAGAAATGTTTCTCATGTGGGCAGCCATCCTGGACTTGGTACAAGAAGAGCCATTCAGCATTCTACAAAGGTGTCAGGCTCTGTTCCAGACACTGATGATGCAGCAGTGAACAAGACTAAGACTCTGTCTTCATGGAGCTAACGTCCTGGTGGGGGGAGAAGACAAGCACAAACATCACAATCTACATAATATATTGACAGTGCCATGAAGAAAAATAAAGCAAGTACAGGGTTGTTGAGTTTTCTGTTTCATTTTGCTTCTTTGGGGTTAACATTTTAATTTTGTTATGATGCATTTGTGGGGAAAAAGTCTAATTACTTGATTGGCTTGCATCTAATGATATGGAAATTTTGAAAGTGGAAGCGCAGAAAAGTTAGAAAAATGATACTCCCTTCAAGGTGTCTTCTGGAAGTCTTCAACATGATTTGCACATTGAGAAGGGGAGGAATAGAGATAGGTCTCAGATTTTCACCATCACGTGTTATACTAGGTGATTTAGGAGGTGGTGGAGGAAACTGAACCAGTGCAACCATTTTACAGATGAATCGGAGGCACAGGGAAGTAGGAGGTAACTTGCCTCAGGTGGCAGAGTTAAGATTTGACCCCAGGCTTGTCTGATTGCACAGTCCTTGCTTCTAAGCACCTGGAGGCTGCGCTCCTACCTTGGGGAAAGTTTTCTGAACCTTGCTTGGTTTGCTCCGCCCTATTATGCCTAACAACAAAGGCATCTTGGCGGGGGACCAGGAGTGTGTCACTCTCAGATCTGCGGCCCTGCCACCAGCTGCCATCTCCTGAGTGCTTGCTGTGTTCCAGGCATTTCACATATCTTGGTTTTAGTTGCCTCAACAGTTTTGCTGGTTAGGTATTAACAAGGGGTCCCTGGGCACAGAGCTTGGAAGAGATTGAGCCAGGATCCCACCCCGATAAGACTGCTACCTAGTGATCTTTTTAATTGTAATTAAGAGAACTGAACTGGAGGAAGCTTTTGCTTCAAGGTGGGGAACCTGCTTTGTGGCTCTTTTGTGCAAAATAAGATGACAGGTATGGGCTTTGAATTGCTGGTCTCTTCTGGGTATCAAGACAGCTACAGTTTGAGAGCTGCTGTGTCAAAATGAACAAACACAAAGCAGTGCTTAGTTAGGCATCTGCTCCCTCTCTTGGAACCCCACAGTGGTGGATTGGGTGGGCCTGCGCCAGAGCCATTTTAGTCCTGGTCCTCAGTAGTGACCTATGACCGAGAAAGACGGGCAGCCCTCAGAAATCACATAGAACCTCGAAGCATGATTCGTGAAATCCCCTCCGGCTCTGGCAAGTTGAGACAGACTTCAGGCTTCCAGGAGTTTAAAAGGGTGGCTACCAAGTCATCCCCGTTCTAATTTTGGATGGCTTTTTAGTCCAGTGTGTATTTTACTAGCTCTGAAAAAACCCTCTGAGGACAAACATGTTGCCTGTATGCACCTACAGAAATAGGAAGCTGATTTTTTGTGCGGTGGAGAGAAGAGTCTCAGCGGTGCAGGTGGGCAGTAATGATAATGAAGTTTCCATTTCCTGAATGCCTCATAACCACCCTGAAGGGTTGGCACCATGACCCATCTCCTTTTCTTATGTCCTTTATGGCCATTTGCATATGGCCTTGAAAAGTAACTCGGTGGTGGGGCACCTGGGTGGCTCAGTTGGTTGAGCATCCAACTCTTGATTTCGGCTTGGGTTGTGATCTCAGGGTTGTGAGACAGGGCCCTGCATCGGTACCACGCTTAGTGTGGAATCAGCTTGGGATCCTCTCTCCCTCTGTCCTTTCCCCAGCTTGTGCGCTCGTGCGCACTCTCAAATAAATAAAATCTCAAAAAAAAAAAAAAAAGTAACTTGGTGGTAACCTATTTCTCAGATGAAAAATGAGTAGCCCAGTGAGGTTTAGGACTTGAACTCAGGTTTGTCTGAATAACCAAAGCAGGGGTCATGAATGCAGATACCCCCAGGGATGGGGCAGGTCATAGAAATGTGGAAAGTGGCTGAGAATAAGTGTGACGAATATGTAGGCAAGCCACCGGCTGCTGAGTACCTGCTCCCTTAAAGAGACGCAGTGCAGACCTTGAAAATAATATGCTAAGTGAAAGAAGCCAGACACAAAAGCCCACATATTGTCCCATTTATATGAAATGTTCAGAGTTGGCAAATCCATAGAGACAAAAAGTAGATGAGTGGTTGCCAGAGGCTGGGGGTGGGGGGCAGGGAATTTGGGAACGAGGAGTGACTGCTTAGTAGGTGCAGTTTCCTTTTGGGGTGATGAAAATGTTCTGGAACTAGACAGAGGTGATGGTTGCACAACCCTGTGAATGCACCAAGAACCATTCAGTTGTACACTTTTAAAGGGTGAGTTGTATGGTGCATGAATTATATCTCCATTTAACAAAAAATTCGCTGTAGTTCAAGCAGAACAAATGAGAGTGGAGGCAGCCTGTGATCCCTGGATTGGGGTTGGTCTTTGATCCCTGGGGCTCGGTCGGGTAGAGGAGAGAGAGGAGAGCAGAGTGGGCCCCATGTGTTGGTGGCGCTGAGATGCTAGGCTGGGATCCCGGCAGAAGCCCTGTGGGCCCACTCGGGATATTGCATATGAGCCAGACAGGCCACAGGGGCACGTGCAGGCTTGGCCCAGAGCTGGGTAACCCCCCACCTCCATCCCCGTGGCTGTGCACCAGGCAGTCATTGCACTGGACTGACAGGGTCTGGGGACAGTTTGCCTTTTAGTGTCCCATGTTTTGATTGGTTTTCGGTCCGTTCCTTGCTGTCACAGGTCACATCCCCATCCCCTCCATCATTTTGGACACCAGGTAACTAAAACATGTTTGTTTATTTAATGTGCCTCCCCCCAGCAAATCACCCAAGAGCCAGCCTCAGCAGGTACTGAGGAAGGGGCTGAAGCTACTTCCAGGAGAGGTGGGGATGAGGAGGCCTTTTGGCTGCTCAGAGGGGGGTGTGGGGAGGAGCTGGTTTGGGGACTGGCGAGTTCAGGAAAGAGACCTTGCAAGTGCACTGACTTTCCTGGATTCTTCCGCCACCTGGCGTTGGCGCCTTGCCTGCTCTGTGTCCACCCCCTACTCTTTGCACTCGGGAGGTAGTCCTCTGCCGCTCTCCGTGTGCTTGGGGAGGCCTGGCTGCAGGGGCTCCTGTCTCCCAACCCGGACTCGGCTCTCCCTGAGTCTTGCTCATAAGTTCACTGATTGGTCAATCTTGGTTTGCCTGTAGAAGCTTTACGTCATCCTAAACGTGCCCCTAGCCGAAACCTGTGGGAAATCCTTGGATGAAAGTAGGTGTTCCAAACGGAGATGGGTGGGAAGCCCTAATCTCTGGCACCTGTGACTGTTAGGTTACTTGTAAAGGAGAGTTAGGGTAGCTAATCAGCTGCATTTAAATAAGATTCTCCCGGGTTATCGTGGCCAATTGAAAGACAGGGATCCTTTAAATATGGAAGATGGAGGCAAAGGAGTCAGAGCGAGTCAGAGAGCGACGTGATAGAAGATCTGAACCAAAGATGGAAGGGCCAGGAGCCAAGGGATGTACACACAGCCTCGAGAAGCTGAAAAGGGGGACGGACTCTCCCTGAGAGCTTCCAGAAGGAACGTTGCCCTGCTGACACCTTGTTTTTAGCCCAGTGAGCCCTGTGTTAGACTTCTGGCCTCCAGAACTGTAAGATTAAAAAAAAAAGTGTGTTAAGTCCGTCGAAATTTGTTGTAGCAGCAAGAGCAACCAATAGGAAAACTAAGGGGTAGATACTAGCCTCCTCTTCGTTCATTGAAAAAACTAGCTTGTGATGTTTCCTTACATTGTTTTGATTTTGCTACCTTAAATCTTCTCAATATGCTCTGAGTTGAGGCGTTTAAATATGCAGAAAACTGGATTGCAGTGATGTTCTCGGTGTGCCAGTGGACGCTGAGAAGCCC